TTTCTTTCTGCACCGTCAGTACGTTTTTGATGCTTCATGGCGCTATAGTGGTCTTCATAAATCCAGATAGAAAGTCTCTGCTCTCTGTCATAGGGGGCTGGAGCGATAGCACAGCGGTAGGGCGCTTGCCTTGCACGCAGCCAACATGGCCACCCGAGTTCGATTCCTCCGCCCCTCCCGGAGAGCCCGGCAAGCTACCGAGAGTATCTCGCCTGCACGGCAGAGCCTGGCAAGCTCCCCGTGACGTATTCGATATGCCAGACAGTAACAACAAAGTCTCCAATGGAGACGTTACTGGGCCCGCTCGAGCAAATCGATGATCAACGGGAGGGCCTTTACCTTTAATGCCATCATTGGTGTGTTTCCTGCTCTGTCTTTAGCCAGGCCCCAGGACCTCTCATTAAATAACAGGGTATCCCAAATGGAGAGCTCTCCAGTCTCGGTGTGTTTATGCAAAAGAACAAGACAGCTTTGTTAAGCCATTTGGCAGATTTAAAGTGAAGGTGGGGAGAAAACCACATTTTTTGTAACTTGCCCTCTGTAGAAATCAGATTCTAGTTCTATAGAGTGATCAAACAAATGTATTCTAATGGGCTTGACATAAACAGGATTTAATAACCCTAAAAGTCACAACCTCAATTGGGGTGGGGAGCCCCCAGTGATGTGCAGGGTTCTAAGAGTTTTTCCTGGCGATACTTGGTCCAATCCTGTGGGCCTGAAGGATCAGTGCTGGGGGCCACAGAAATACATCCACTGTGCTCCAGGGACCATGCTGGGGTCACACTCAAGACCTGGTGTGGTAAATGTAAATTACTCACATTCCTACTATTCAAGTTTAAGGTCACTGGTCTAGGAGATAGAAGGTTAAATCCCAACCAAATAGTTTCTGTGTTTGAAAAAAAAAGTGCAAATCTGGGAGCAGAGAGATAATATAGTTGGTAAGGGGCTTGCTTTGCCTGTGGCTGACCTGGTTTCAACCCCAGTACCACATATGGTAGCCTGAGTCCCATCAGGAGTGATTCCTGAGCACAGGGCCAGGAGTATGCTAGGAATTTTCCCCCAAACTCAAAAAAGTATGATCCTGGGGTCGAAGTGATAGTACAGCGGGTAGGGCATTTGCCTTGCACGCAACCGACCCAGGTTCAATCCCCGGCATCCCCTATGGTCCCCTGAGCAATACCAGGAGTGATTCCCGAGTGCAGAGCCAGGAGTCATCCCTGAGCATCACTGGGTGTGACCCAAAAAGCAAACAAACAAACAAAAAAAGTATGATCCTAGGGTCCTGGTACGTTAGCCCAGGCTCTCATGGCTAAGTGGCCAAGCTGGGATGTCAGCCCTGGCCTCTGCTGTGAGTAACACTATTTTGAAGGAGCACTGAGGCCTGAGGAATGACTGTCCCTCTCTGAGAGAGCCCCCGCTGACCCCAGGGCTGGGAGCTCTGGTTTCCATCTCCCCCATTCTCCAGACAGGGACGGATGCCCACTCGGCTCCTGAGTCTGCACCACTCCTGGATAAGGGCTCCTGACCCAAGAGTGACCCTCACTTTTTGTTTGTCCCCTTCAGGGTGTCCATCATTGGGAATGTATTTGTCCCCCTGCTGTGAGCAATGGGGGGGGGTACGCTTTCCTCTGTGTCCACCTGCTGAACCCAGTATTTTCTGGGTCTGAGAGCCAATGCGAGGGCTCCTACGAGGGCCAGCTCTGTGGTCAGCTGTGGGTCTGGGGCTTCAGGCAGCCCCCCGCATTGCCCTGGCCTCCACGCTTACCCTCAACCCAGCAAACAGATAGCATCTGCTGTCCAGGAGCAAATGGTGGAGTGTGGGGGTGGGCAAGGCCTTCCAGAAGGGGAGCCGGGATGGCTGACTAGGAACTGCCATGCCGCCATCCCCACCCCATGGCGGGGCCTGCGGCAGCAGTGGCTGACACCCAGGATGTTTGAGGGGCTGGGGAACAGCCTTAGCTCTGGACTCAGTGAGGAACATTCTCCCCCCTCGTGGGTCTCATCTACTTCCCCAACCTGCTGCCTCCAGATAAGGAAAACAAAAACACAAAAGCAACACTTCCCCTGGCAGCATCTCCAGAGAGCTCATTAAAGCTAGCCCAGCCTAACAAGCACTCTGAAGGGCACCGGGAAGGAAACTACCTTCTGCCACGAGAAGGAACCACGAGGAAGCCCGCAGAGAGGGGCACTGGGGGGACGTCTCTCAACCATCTGCCACAACACGGGCCTGACGTGGGCTCTAAAGCGCTGCCGGGCACAAGGGTCATGTCCAGGGGTTAAAGGGTACGAGCCGTTGGGGCTGAGCACAGGGCTTGCCTGCAGAGGAGGCAGGCGTCACCACAGTGCTCTGAGCCTGGGGAGTCAGGGGACCCTCGAACGGCAGAGGTGGGGGGTCCAGCAGAGGTGACAGTGCCAGAGTGGGAGGCGCAAACGCAGCCCTCCTGCACAAAGTGTGGACAGGCTGCAGGCAGTCAATCAGGGAGACTGGGGTGGGCAGGATTCTGAGGGGCAGCAACACCACAATCCACACCATTGAATATCACTGCCAAGGCGCTGAGACCATGACAGTCCACAAAGGTGCTGAGAACTGCAACCCTCCAAGGGCTGCGGATTCTACCTTCTCGCCGAGAAGCACGACGGGCAACTTACTACTCAAAATCATCATCAAGTAGGGGCAGTGTTCATAATCAATACTCCCCCCAAACCCCCCCCCCCTCTCTCTCTCACACACACACACACACACACACACACACACACACACACACACCCTAGTCAGACTTCAGAACATTGGCACCTTCCTCTGGAATGCAGGTCACGCAAGACAACCTACCCAACCCTGGCAGAGAAGAAAGAGGAAAGAGAGAGAGAGAGAAGGGAGGGGGGAGGTGAAGGGAAGGGGCAGGGGAAGGGGGGAGGGGCAGAGGGGGGAAGAAGGCAGGTGGAAGGAAAGAGAGGGGGAGGAGGGGAGGGAGGGGAGGAGAGGGGTGAGGGAGGAAAGGTGGGAAGGGAGGAGATGGGGACAAGGGAGGAGGGAGGGAGGGGAGAGAAGGGGAGCATTAGGAGGGGAGAGGAGGGCTGAGGAGGGGAGAGAGGTGCACACCACCCTTGCCAGCAGTCTCACATTCTGCCCCAACCCTGTTCCCTGCCTTTCAGACCACATCAGGGTCTGCAGGAGGCAAGGAGGGCAGTCACCAGAGCCCAGGCAGCGCGGCCCTGTGAGCATGGCACTGGGCTTCCTGTCCTCTGCAGGGCCAGGATGGCAGAGGAACAGAAACAGCGGGCACCACGGTTGCAGAGTGTGTGCTATAAATATCTGCCCCCCATAGGACTTGGTGATAAAAGGATTCCATGATCAAATACCCTGGGGAGATGCTGAGTACCTCGACCCCGCGTGGGTGATGCACAAGCCCCCGGAGATCTACTCCCTGATGGCCCCACATCGCCACACCTGCTGTACCTCAAGGAGCACCTGCCCCGTCCCTTGGAGATGGATATCTCTGGAACCCAGTGGCACAGAAAACCACGTTATTTTTGCTTTGATTAGGAGAACAAAACAATAACATTTTTCCCCCCAGAAACAGCAGGAATGATTAAGTTTGGTGCCTTTTGGGAATACCTCTAACAGCAGGACAAATTCACTCTATTAATTCAACCCCTCCGACCACAGGGGGAGCCAGGAGGGTGAATGTTACTCCCCCATCCCCGCGCTTCCAGGTCTTCTGGAACCACATTCAGGTCACCAGTTGACCCTAGACTACCTGCAAGAGCCAGACACAGGTTTCCCTGTCCAGCCTCCTGTCTACACAGAGCGGTGGAAGCCAGTTCCAGCTGTGAGGGCAGGAAAGGAAGTGTCTCTGTGACTCTGTGTGTACACATGTGTGCGAGTGTGCAGACACATACCTGTCTGCACCTGGGTCTGTGTGCACACTGCATGTGTGCAAAGATTGTGTATGTGTGCATGTATGTGTCTGTGCCCATGCACATGTATGTTTGCCTGTGTGTCCATGTGTGCACGCACATGTACGTCTCTGTGTGTGCACGCATGCTCACGCAAACAACATCACCCACCAGAGCCGGGTTCTCTGCTGTATTATCTCTCACGGTTCTACCTTCAAGAACTTCTCACCCATCTTCCTTCAAGTGACACCCCATGATATCAAACACCGACCCTGGAACTGTCAGGGATGGGGAACACTGACACCCATACAGTTAAAACACCCACAGAGAACACTGACGTCCCCAAACTTTACTACCAATAGCTTGCGATGCACTAGAAGCCTTCGGAGAAACAGTTCCCACACACTGTGGTATGTTTTATATTCCATGTTTTATATTCCACGCCTTTACAATAAAGTAAACTAGAGGAAAGAAAACGCTATTAAGAAAAAAAATTTTAATTGCTGTTTTTCGTCGGGGGCCAGAGTGATAGCATAGTGGGTAGGGTGTTTGCCTCGCACACGTCCGACCTGGGTTTGATTCCTCCACCTCTCTCAGAGAGCCCAGCAAGCTACCGAGAGTATCCCGCAAGTATCTGGCAAGCTACCCCTGACATATTTGATATGCCAAAAACAGTAACAAGTCTCACAATGGAGATGTTACTCATGCCCGCTCGAGAAAATCGATGAACAAAGGGAGGACAGTGCTACAGTGGACAGTACAGTTTTTCATCAGAGCCATAAGTTTATGTACTCTGTTTTGCATCTAAGTAGTTTCATGTGTAAGGTTCAAGGTCAACTGTAATTGTTTAAGACCTTCCCAAGGGAGCAAGGAAACAGGCTGCCGTGAATCCTCTTTTTCTACGGATTTCCCTCTGGAAAATGTTTCCTTCCCCGAGTTTTGGTTTTTCAGCAGGACCTAGGACCCAGAGCGGGGCTGGGAGCTTCTTCTCAGGAAAGTGAAGCCCTGACTCCTGGGGCCAGCCCACCCCTGGCACAGTGCCTGAGAAGGAGCTGGGTAGCTCACCAGCTCTCAGGGCAGCAGCCCCGGCCCAGGGCTCTCACCTGGTATGTGTTGTCGAAACTGTCGTACATGAACCGTGTGATCAGAGAGGTCTTCCCAACTGCAAAGCAAAGAGAAAGAAGGTTCAGCATGGAACACCAGTGAGGCGCTGCAAACACATCACACAGGAAGGGGGCAGGGAACAGACATCGAGGAAGCTGGACTGCAGACACAGAAGTGGGGGGCAGAGCCGGGGGAGGGGGCCCTGCCCCCCCAGCAGGTGCTGCAGGTTTAGCGGGTACCAAGGCGCCCTGTGAGTCCCACCACACAAACGCCAGTCTTTCCAGAGGCACAAGTCACATACGTGGAGTCAGAGCAGAAGAGGCAAGACAAGCTGCTCTTCTGAGCCACCTGCCTTCCCTGCCCGGTCCTGCAGGTGCTGGGAAACACCAGCAGGACTCCCAGTCACAGACCCTCCCCTACATTTGCAAAAGCACTCTGAGGGGCTGGAACCTCCCAACGGAGAACCACCAGCAGAGCTAAGAGGAATTGGTAAGCTTGGAACCAACTGCAAGGGGATGCTAACTTCCTGATGGGCAGGACCAGCTTCTGCCGGAACCCTGGGAGGGACCTCTAGGGCCTGGCAGTGGCAGAAATGCCCTGGACTGCCCTCCTAGCATCTGGAAGAAGTGGAGGGTGATAAAGGAACATTTGTCCAGTCATGCTCGATGCAGAGAGCTTGTCTACACTGCCTGATCTCATGGGACTGCTCCTACCGAGCCTAGCTCAGTGGCTTGTCTGCCTACACAGCCTGCAGAACGTCGGCCCTGACCTGGAGCTGGACATGAGACCTCTGGCCAACTCTTGGACAGGAAGCACAGGTATGTGCAGAGAGTCTGGCCCCTGGCCCAAGGAGCAAGGCCACCCCACCCGGGTCCTCTGGGAGATGTCCCTTCCCTAGAGAGTCACGGGACACACAGCTTCTTCAATACTCCCCACTCAAGCTCCCCAAGAAATGCATCCTGACTAGAAGATCAACCTGGGGTTCAGGGCGCGGCTGAGTCTGCATTAATTTCTGGTTGCTGCATTGTCAGAAGAATCTTTTCACTCTTGGCACAGCGGGTAGGGTGCTTGCCTTGCACGAGGCCGACCCGGGTTCGATTCCCAGCATCCTATATGGTCCTTCAAGCACTGCCAGGAGTAATTCCTGACTGCAGAGTAAACTGAGCATCACTAGGTGTGATCCAAAAGGCAAAAAAAAAAAAAAAAAATAGAATATTTTCACTCCTGCCACAGTTCTCACGGCCTCCACATTCAGTGTTGTGACCCCCAATTTAAGAAGCTAAGATGTACCAGGCAGGTGTGAGTATCTTGGACAGAAGGTGGGCAGCTGGGAGAGAGCGCCCCACCCCTGACCCGGGATTATGCCTTAGACAGTAGAGCAGGGGCACTGGGAGCTGGCCGCCCTCCCTCAGGACCTCAGTTCCCCAGTTAACAATGGGCGTGATGACAGCAAAGATGTCAAATGACGGGAGTGAGACTCGACACGGAGGCAGGAGTGCCAGGAGAGGAAGAGGAGGCAGTGACGGGGAGGGGAGCAGAACCATGACTGGAAAGGCAGAGAAGGGCCCATGGCGGTTGGAGGATGTCTGCTCCCTGGAGACACGCATGCTGACCCTGCCCCCCAACACACACACACACACACACACACACACACACACACCAGCCCTGGGTGTGGGGGTTCACGGGCTCCATTTGCACCAGGCCTGGGTCAGAGTGTCTGGAAGGGTCTGCTGCAGGGGGTGTGGCGCTGCCCTGGCTGGAAGGAGGCCAGGCCTTTTTTTGGGGGGGAGGGGCAGCATTCGGGCTCATCCAAGCTCCACAAGGGAGCCCTGCCCCCTGCCCCCCCCCCCCCCCCCGCAGAGCACACACCCTCACCTCCCCCCTCCTTCCCTGCCCCCCCACCCCCCACGCATGATGCCAGCCTGGCACAGACCAGGGAGGCGGGAGGAGACTTCAAGTAAACCTTTCGGATCCCTGCTCCCACAAAAACAGAACATGCCGTCCCATCCTCCCTGCAAACTGGGAAGCTGGGGGGCGGGGGAGCTCAGAACTGGCTCCTACCTGAGCCCTGCAGGGTGGCTGGGCTGCCTCTCACAGCCGGGAGCAGCCGTGAAAGATCCCATTCCACACCGCCCCCAAAGAGTCTGCAGTAATTAAGAAACCCAGAAATGCGCACAGCTCAGCTGCTGCTGCTTTAATTAAGTGCTAATTCCCTGGGCCAGCAGCTCTGCCGGCCCCACAGAGGGCGGACACACGGGAAAGGGGGGCTGGAGGCGCGGCTGTAGGCCTGTCCTTCACTGCCCTGGGGGACACAGACCATATTTGACCGCAGCCCTGCAACCCCAGGGCCCCCTCCCCCACCCCAGTATGAATCTGGAGCCGAGGGCAACCACCACTCCTGACTCCTAGCCAGCCTGCAAGGCCAGTGGTATCATGTGTCAGGGTGGAGACTTGGCCCCCTCCCCCCCCCCCCCCCCAGGAAGGGCGGGGAGAGGGGGCCCTGCAGGCCTTGGCTGCACAGGGCCCCAGGGAGGGGCCAAAGTCGACTGACTCCCGCTTCCATCCCAGAGCATCCCCACAGCAGGATGCGGTGAGGCAAGTACCAGGGACGCAGGTGGCCGCCGAGCAGCCCTGGGCGAGGGGTCTGCTAGGGCCGGCTGCTCTCTCCCAGGGCCCAGCCTTCAGGGCGTTGCAGATCTCCCCACCCAGCCCATACCCTCAGCTTCCCAGGGTCCACTTCCACCCCAGGATTCCCCTCTTCCTCCAGCTGAGAGGGCAGTGGGGTGACCTCAGTGTCCCCCTCCATGACAGCCTAGTCTACTCCCCAAAGAGTGTCCAGAGCCAGAAGGCAGGGGCGGCCTGAGTGCTGGGCAGGAAGGGAACCGGGTCCCGGAGCCAGCGAGGGCAGGGAAGGAGGCCCAGAACTCCTGGTGGGCAGCAGTGGAGACCATGGGAGGACCCTGAGATGCCAGGAAGGAGGGCCCTGGGTCCCGCAGAGATGGCTCAGCCTGCAGCGGACCTGAAGGGGGCACTGGCAGCGGGCACTAGCTTGACTTGGAAGCCGGTGCTCTTGGTTCCGGCTCTGGCTGCAGGCCGTCTCCAAGCGCTCTGGGTCTGGGAGTCGGGGTCTGGCTCATTCCCTCAGAAATGTCAGCCTGCAGGGGTGGGTGGAGTGTGGGGCCTCGAGCAGGCCTGTGTGTGGAAGGTGTGAGCAGGGTGGGGAAGGAAGCAGAGCAAGGAGATGCTCCCCTGCTCCCAGCTCCACCTAGGGCGCAGTGAAGGGGTCCCCGTCACAGGGGTCACCCCAGGGCCTTCAGGCTACTACAGCTTCCAGCCTGGAATTCAGTCAGTAAAAGGACCAACAGGGGTGCAGGTGGAGACAACCTCCCCCAACCCCCCCCCACACCCCTGTTCTCAGCCTTGATAATGTTCACAGTCATGTCACCCCACCCCCACCCCAGCCTGCAGGCCTGAGACCCAAGGAAGCACCACCGTCTGCTCAGGTGCGGGGGAGGGCCAGGGCAGGGGCCCGGGCTGGCAGGGGCTGTGCCATCTGGCCCGCGCCTGCTGGGTGCCCGGGCTGCCTGGGTTAGCTCCCTCCCTCCTTTGTTTCCCCTCAAAGGAGCCCCTAAGATGTGAAAACCGGTTCACAGCAGTATTAGGACCCAGGGGCCACCTGGCTCTTACACTGTTTCATAGACTCCCTGGCCCCGTTGATGCCCCCCCGCCCCCCCCCCCCCCCCCCCCCCGAGCGTGGACACTCCCAGGTCCTCCTCCCCTGCATCTGGACTGCAGGACCTGAGCTTCTTCCATTGCCTCAGCTGCTCCTGAAACCTACGTGGGTCTCAGCGCCAGACCCAGCCGGCAGCCAGCAAGGGCGCAACGCCACCCCCAGACTCGGCCCTGGGTCATCCCCACTGCTTACACACACACACACACACACACACACACACACACACATCACATACACACATGCACATATACCACACACACCACACATCACACTCACACACCACACACACACCACACACACCATACACACAATGTGGGGATGCACAGCAGTTCAGGGGCAAGCTGAGCGCAGGAGCAGGTACACACATATGCACACACTCACAAGCACACACTGAAACAAACACACACACACACTGTATGGGCATGCAGCTCAGGGGCAAACTGGGGCTTCTCTTGTTTGCATGTAAGAATTCCGAGAGCTACAAGGCTAAGGGATGGGCAGGAAAGAGGAGGCTGGCGCGGGGTGTGTCACAGAGATACATCTACGTCTCCGTTGGCCACTGGGGTTAGACTAAGGAACAGCCTGAAATCCCTGACAGTACGAGCCAGAAAAGAAAGGCGAGACCAACCGCAGGGCTTGGCGATATTCGTGAGATGAAACTAGCCCTGCTGCTAATGCTGAGCTTTTGGAGTCGGGCAGCTAAAAGCTGCTTAAGAGTCTGTGTGGAGGACTCACGGCACATTCCCGTGGGCATGTAATCAACTGATGAACGTCGCCGAAGGACACCACCCTGGGGTTCTCAGGTCCCAGTAGGGTGCCAGGCCAATGGGTCCAACAAACACAGGATTAAACCCTAAATTCTGGTCAAGAGGGAGTAACAGGGACCATCCTCTCACCTGAGACGACCCAAAATGAGACAATGCACATGAAGCAAGATTGCCAAAACCAAGGACCAGAAGAGAGACTCGGGGGCTGGGGAGTTGGACTCCACACGAGCAATCACTCCTAGTACAGTCCAGCCCCGAGTACCATGCTCTGCTCCACTGCACCCACTGCACTTTCACAAGCAAACAGATTATGCCTCACCAAGGTTTAGATGACAACTAGCCTCTTTTTAGCAAGTTAAGTATTTTAAATTTATTTTTAAATTTTAATTTATTTTTAGCACATTTAATTAAGATAAGGACATTTTAGAAACATTATGTGGTTGCACCCTTAATAGACCCACAATACATACATTTGTTGTTGTTGTTTTGGCGGGAGGCTACACTGGGCAGTTCTTAGGGGTTACTCCTGATGGACTCAGGAGACCATATGCTAGGGAT